GTCACCGTAATATAGTGCCATCTAACGATGCTAGATCTAACTATATCTGTGATGTAAATAGGTAATGTTATGTACTATGTTTTGAAAGTTGCGATATGTAATTTGCAATATAATGTTATATTAATTTTTTTATAAAATATAACTTTTCTCAATAATGTTAAAAATGTATAAATTTTCATTTCTCATTAATTTAATATTTTTTCCCTCTTTCATTCCTTCTCTTTCTCTTCCTCATTTTTTCATTCCTTCTCTTTCTCCTTTCTTACTTCTGTTAGCGGCCACCTAACAGAAGTAAGTTTGGTTTATGTAATTACGGTAAAGCCAGAGGGCTATTTGCCTAAGAGAAGGGGTGCCTTTGTGGAGGAACTTTCTAAGGAAAACTGACTCGTATACATGTCACACAAGGGAAAAAAAGCGAGAAAACAACCTGTCTGTTTGCAAGATTCAAATTTGGACCGAACTGCCAGTGTTCAATGACTTTACCGCTCAGCAGCTGCTGAGTCTAAATGAAAATTTATAGATTTTTTAACAGATATTGAGAAAAGTTACATATTAAAAGAAAAACATTAATATTACATTGTAATATGGGATTTATTATGGTACTTTTCCGTTTCGCTGGCGCAACCAATAAAGTTGCCAATAATGGTACAACTGATGCAAACGAAATATCCTCGCTGGTAACATTTTACGCTTCATTTTCAAAACAAGTCGCAGCCATTTCTCACCAGATTGATTGTTTCTTTTATTACTGGTTTACGAATACATAGAATTTTTATCAGATAGTACAATTTTATGCCCTAAGGCCATTTGCGGTAATTAAGTCAATTAGAATGTAATCACACCAATCACCCGAAGGCGAAAACATAGAAAAGGCAAAGTCAAGGGTTAAATTCATCAATTCTAGTTGAGAATGCACTAGCGAAGTAAAGCACTGCGGTTGTACATAATTTCTGAATAAGCTGTTCATACGAATTGAAGTAATTCTTGCATTTAAACAAATTAAGAGTTAACTTTGAAATTAAGGTAGATAATTAGATATAATTATATTTTTATAGCATAGATTGCATGAGATGAGATCACTTGGGGTCACGTGATACGAACTGGCGAATCAGGATGTTGAACCATGAAAGCATAGTAAATTCTTAAATTAATGTCTTTCTACAAATTTATTGTCTTTATTTATTGGCTTTTTAGAAAATTTTAAAGGATATTAAAATGTTTATGCCTTCAAAATAAAAAATTATAAATTTGCTAACATTTTTTATGTGTATGTTGTCACCAATAAAGTCTATTTGGCGAGATTTGTGCCGAAAATTACACATTGCGACTTTCAAAAACATAGTACATAATATTATCTATTTACATGACTGATCTAGTTAAATGTAGCATTGATAGATGGCACCTCATTACGGTGACTTTTCCCGGTCTGACGCTTTCGTCCACCCTACTTGGTTTGTGGCCGCCTCCTTCTGCAGCTTCAGTTATGAATAAAACAAAACCTTAAAAAAATATTTACTTCTAAATTCAACATTATGCACTAGTTTGGGCTATAAACATTAACCTAAATAAGTATTTTAAGCGAGAAGCGTGGTCAATAAAATGTTACAGAATTTTTATCTCGAGGATGGTGGCATGAACTGCAAATTATAGAGGTCACAAATAATTTATACCTTTGCTGGTCTTAAAAATTCACTTTTTTAATTGTTTTTAATAACAAAATAAAATATCTGCCATATGTTTCTATAAGAAAGTATAATTCATGTATAACAATAAATTTTATCGCGTTATTCAGATTTTTCATGACAGGGGAAAGGAAATTTCATTAGTGGGAGGAGCCAAACGAGTTTTTAAGGGAAGGAATGTAACACAATGTGATGAGCAAAACAGTAATGTAACGTAAAGATATTAGAAATTTGAAAGCATTTGGAAGAGCGAGATTGGAAAATTAATATCATTAAGTAAACAAGAAAAATTATTAATGATGTGAAAGTTGATTAAATGAAAATGCTTTACAGATAATTTTTGAAGATCCCATATTACGATGTATTTAAGTAACCGCTGTAATTAGCTAAAAAAATTCCTTTTTCCTTTCGAAATTTAATTCATATTCCCTGACAAGAAATTTCAGCACTTTTTCAATTTGGCCAATATACACCAAACAGCACGATACATATCAAACAATGCTAAATTAACACAATAATTAAAAGCATGTATGAGATCTTCAAGAATCGAAAACTGAATTTTACTGATAAGTGGAAAAAATAACTTAAATATTGAACTTATGGGGATGTCGAGAAATTTTGTAATTGATTGTAAATTTAACTAATTATTGGGTACGTGTCAGCTAAACTTCACTGTCGGCTTAGTGTCCTGTTGACTAAATGTCTTAATAGTTAACTGTCCCGTAGCTAAATGCCCTGACGACGAATTCTGCCTGTCGGCTAAGTGTCCTTGTTGGCTAAATGATCTGTGGGCTATTGTCCGTATCTGCTAACTGGTGTCTGTTAAGTGTCCTGTCGGCTAAGTGTCATGGACCCTCTAAAATATTAGGTTCTGTGTTTACATGGCTCTTCAGAGGAACCAGAAAACTACGATCAAATCACAAAAAATAAGACCATGCTATAATGCTCCCCAACCAATTTTAACCTAAGGAAAAATACATAAATTTCATTCATCTGACAATTTTCACACCTAAAATTAGTTGTCAGATTGCCAGACTTTTAGTGTACTGGATTTGCTGCTTCATATAACGTTAATACCATTGCTCCAGGTACATCTGGTTTTACAGCATGCTTAGTGATACTGGTAGTAGCAGCACAAATATATGACTTATGTAGAGCAGCTCTCCCATTAAAACCCACTTGTTGCAGCTCTTAACAAACTGCTATTGCATTGATTTTACATGAAATGTTTTTTCGTTGATTCCATAACAGTTTTATTTCACTACTCCATGAAGCATTCTACAGTTTCTGTCTGTTAAATATGCTTTCAACTTGACTTGGTTGAAGAGATATATATCTTAGTTTTCCACTTTACAAGTCATCTGCAATTCAGTGTTCTGCATTAAACATTGCTGAAAGTTCACAGGCTTTCCACAAAGTAAGCAACTGATTACTTCTTCTCTTTGAAGTTCTTTCAGCTGATGTTTCTCATTCAATTCAATTCCATGATTTGCTAAAATGTCTGCAAATCCATGATTTTACATAAACTTTCAGGGTGCATTGTTATGTCACTGATCAAATCAATTTCCAAGGAGTACCATAATAGTTTTGATGATTATATATATATAATTTAAGTCCTTCTGCTATTTAAACATTGATTATAACATGGCACACAAATTAACATTATCAGCATTATACTGCCAAAAGTTATGCAATTTTACAAAATGTGAAATTTTTATAAATTATCACATATTCAAGAGTAACATGACAAATTAATTAACATGCCAAATAAAGCAAACAATTGGCAAAATATCTTGTTCTGATTTATTCACACCTATGTTTTGTGCATTTAACAGTAATTAAAGTCACACAAACTGGCTTTTAGTTGAGATGCAACAAACACTTGTATTGTTATTAATGTCAAGCAAAGGCAGAATTTTGCCATTAACTTACTTATAAAAGATTCAAGATACATTTGTGTAAGTTTTGACTGCATGATATGTGAATAATAAACAACACAGCAATGAAAAAAGAATCTTTGAAAACTTTTTCATTCTTATTTTACACACTATATGCAGTCTACGTAAAGATAAAATATCTGAACTGTTAAAAAAAAACCACTCTAAAAAAGGAAATACAATGCAAGCCACAAAAATACCATTTAAAGACTTATAAATATGGTTTATATGATTACGAATAAATCATATTTTATCACATGAGAGATGAAGTACTTAACCCTCTAAAGTGTACAACAACAATAGCTTTGCAGCAGCAGCAGCTTAGCTGCTAGATTTCCACTAATCAAATATGCCATGAACTGAAAGGGATACATTCCATTATCATTACTTTCATATCACCTAGCAACAATATAAATTCTTCTGGTAGCTAGAGACTTTATATTTGGTATTTGACAGGTTAATTCGAGTGCCTAAATACTAAAATGATCAATGAGTACACATCTCAAACAGATTTGAAAAAATTAAAAAGAAACTCATTAAGGGCATGATAAATTTAAAGCTATTTAAATTGGACTTAAGGGGCAAAATATCCTAGAATTCGAAGAGTTAAAAATACACAAACTAAAAAAATTAATAAAATAATTTTAAATCCTTCAGATTTTACATTATGCCCAAAGAGGAGTTTTTCCATTCACACACACATACACATTTTGAGAGCATCTGAGCTAAAAATATTTAAAAAGAGTATATCTTTAGAATTTCCATTACCTGCACTAGAGAGAAAAATGTTTTATTCTATAGAGTGTTGCCGCTGCTCACTTTCAAATCGGAGTTTTTTTAATCGAAAATTTGTTAAAGTTTTACAAAATATGAAATAGATAACAAAACAAATTCAAAATTCAAGTTTCCAGGTGCCCATATTCGGGTGAAGGATTATTTTACTCAAATCTGATGGCTCCAAGTAATGCTGTTTTTGTTGTTTTTTCATAATGTGAGAAACATATATGCAGATTCTTTATTATTTAACTTTTTGAATCTAATGCAGAGTGATGATAATTCGTGGCAACAATTTGAAAAGTGATTCAATGCTTTTAGTGATTTGATGCAAAATGCCATTTTGAGACTAATGGCCTTTCAGTGCTAATAAAAAAAATATAAAAATTAAATGCTTCTTTGAGCTAATAAAAATACTATTTTGAAATTTCTTATTAAGTGCATGAAACAATGCAAAATATTAATTCACTAGTTACATAAATGCATTTGTAAGAAAGGTAGAATTCGAAATAGCTTATGACCTTTTCAATGGTATGTACATTCAATTATTTTTATAAAAATTATAGCTATTAACAAAATATAAGCTATTTATTTATGATGTACTTACAGACTGATTTCTTTTTGCAAAAAGGACACATATATACAGACAAATGAATGTCATCACAAGCTGAAAAAAAAAAAAAAAAAAAAAAGGTAAAATATACATAAAATATAATATAATACAAAATATTAATAAGATAACATAAAATCATCCATCTTACCTGAATAAGTAACCAAAGTAATATATTTTCCACCTGTGTTCTGGCAACAAGTTCTAAGCCAAATTTAGCACAGATTATAGCTTCTGTCAATGTTATTGCTCTGAAAGAGAAATTTAATACTGGTAAAATGTAAAATAGGACAAAAAATATTTTGTTAAAAGTTTAGAATTGTGATTGGCTTCTAATTTTATACATTAAAGAAAGAATTTTAACCCTTCAATGCATGATTTTTATATTTTTACCAAACATTTCTTTTCTTCATGGCCATGGCTTAAATAAGTATGGAAAAATATTTTAAAAATTAAAACACTTTTTATTGGTTATTTTTTTTAATTTTTAGGTTTGATGCATATATGCATCATCATGCATTTAGCACTAAAATGTAAACCACATGCAAAAATCATTTAGAATTTATATAATTAATAAATATTGGCATAAAATACTTAATTATTTATTGTTTTTAGAAAATACTAAATTTAAAATTGTTTTGAAACTTAATTCTAATTAATCAAGTTCAGACTTTATAAAAATTAAAATTGTGATGAAAATTCAAATAAAATGGAAGTATGAAATATTTTGCACATGTATATTTATTGTGTGATTTATGCTGTATGGAAAATTTTGAAACAATTTCTATCCTTATTTAGACATAATGCTACAGTATATTTTTCACATCCAATAAATGTTTGGAATTTTACAACATTTTCTTTCTATATGGGGAACATGTTGAATTTTATCCTGTCTGATGCAGGTTGAGGGAATGTTTGATGCAGAGCCTCTCTGTCTGTTCATATTGTAATCATTTTGTAAAAGACTGCTCGGTCTTCCACGCTTAGGAACTGAACCTTCACCCATTTTGCACAGTCCAACAGATAGCGCAACCTGAAAGGTGGCCAGGTTTAGCAAATCTGTAGGGTTGGCTCCATTCTGGAGAGATTTTTTTTGTACAGCAACCATGCATTTATGACCACAAGGTCTAAGAAGTAGTAAAAAAGTCTCATATACCACTTTCTTGATCTAAGAATTATTTGACATCTTTCTGTATGGTTATCCAGCAGATCTACTCCTCCCATATGTTTGTTGTATCATTTCACAACATTTGGAACAGTCCACAGTAACTTTTTCTTCCTCTTAAATCTATATATCTGTTTGATGGGGTGTTTCCCAGCAAACATAGACACAGGAGCACATTCTTATTGTCTTTCCACACTAAAATATATATTTCATTTCCACGACAGTTTACAATGTACCCAAAGCTTTTTACCCTCGACTCTTTCTTCAGTTGCTTATCTGTAGGGAACTTGCAACCTGGAATTCTGTTCCTACGTATAGTTCCCAAACAAAGAAATGCCCTCATCAGCTAAATGCTTCATTATGTCAATTGAAGTATAAAAATGTTGAAATACATTTTGAAATTTTCTCTACAAAATCTCTCTACAAAATTTAACCACAATATTTTTACTGACGCCCAGTTCTGCCTCTCTCTTCTCAATTGTGAAGTAGATTTTCTTAGCCTGAGTATACCTTAAACTTGTGAGCAGATCCATCGAATCCACATAAAAAATGGTTTGAAAACAATTACCTGGTAAATGAATATAAATAAGAAAAATCATCATCATCATCAAAGGAATTTTCAAAACAAACAATGCCCATGCTACATAATTAAAGACATACAATTAATATTTTAAGACTCTAAACAACAACAATGCCTGCAAATATCAAGTGGGTATTGCTGATATAAAAATAAGCATGAAATAAAGGGTATTATGAAGTCTTATAATTAAAAATATATTCTAAATTTTAACCTGATTCATATATGCATCAAACTGCCCTCTAAGTGAAGCCTAATCATAAATGCATAGTGATGCATATATGAATCAAACAGAAAAATTGAAATATTTCATTTTAAAACAATTCTGTGGTTTAATCTTAATAAGAGAAATGCAAAGTACATACCTTTAGTTATACAGAGTAAAATTTTTAAGCCCCTGCTATTGAATTTATGAATAATACAAAGTTAGCTTGACCATTGAAAAAACAGAAATGAATTCTCTGTTCTTGGCATTAATGAAATAAAGAATATATAGTTTTATTCTGCCACTTACTTGAGAAAAGAACAGCTAAACACTGATATGGATTTATAAGATAAAAATCATCCCAAGTAAACCATCTGCTTTGCAATTTTTTTAATGCTAAATTCAGTAAAAATTGGTATGATTCATATATGCATCACCATGCATTGAAGGGTTAAGCAAAGCAACTATAGCAAATACAATACTTCATTTTATAGATAGGTTTTAAAAATATATTAGAACATTCTGTCATTTTGAGCCTTCCTACTAAAATAAACAAGTACTGCTACTAAGTAATAGCAAGTACTGGTACTAAGATATTTTTCAGATTTAACAATTAATAGAAACCAGCATAAATTATGATTCTTTAATTATTCTTACATGGAAATACTGAACAGTAATACTGTTTTTTTATAGAATTTCTTTTCACCAATTTCTACATATTTAGCAGCAAGAAGTCAGTATTTCCAAAACAGGCTTTAATTTTTCGCAACTGTAATTTCCCCCCACTCGATAAGATATTGTGAATACAACAATTAAGCTGTCTAACAACAGCATGAAGCTTTCATTTCACTTCTGTAATTTACATACTAAACATCCAGATTTTAAAGACAAAAATCTGACCTTTTTTTAAAAAAAATGTTTGCTTAAAAATAAAATAAATGTAATATAGTTATATACTTGTCTTCTGGTTGTACTAATGAAGGTGCTGTTGAAGCCTCTTATCACATCAGTACTACATTGCCAAAAATGATAAAAATTGCAGGTTTTTTTGTTTTGTTTGTTTGTTTTGTATATTTAGTAATAAGTATACTCATTAAATTATTATCAAACATGATCTACACAGTCTCTCATAGTTAGGTTAAAAAAATTACTGATGCAAAACCAGAAGTCCTTATACTGCACTGAAATTAGGTTTTATTAATTCTTACTTTATTGAAACTTTATAAATATATATAAACATGAATTCATGAACATAACATTATGCTAAGATATAATTATGCATAAAATTCAACAAACAAAATGAAATGTAAAAGCAGATAAAATCATAAAAACATCATCTGCGTTAAAACACAATAACCCACATAACACCAAATCAAATAATAATAACCACACTCTTTTTAGATACTTTAATAAATTAAAATTAGCCTCTTTGCTTATTAAATGGATTAGAGGCAAGTCATAGGCATTCGAATATGGCCAGCATATTGCATCACCTTGAACTGCTAAAGTTCTCATCCAGGAGTAAATGTCATCTTTTTTCGATCATCAGGGATGCCGTATAGCTGTAACTACGATCAGCAGTCATTTCGATCACTTGTTCCAAATAAAAGAAAATGCCCACCTTTTGCTAATATTATGCAAAGTTACTGCTTATAATGATAAATATTGCTTGTTTAATAAGTAAATTGAGTAAATACATACAACAATAAACAAAATAAAGTGAGTAAATGTATTAATTGAAGGATAATTTAATATATCAAAGAGCTAAAAGGGGGGGAATCACTCTAGATATTTTAAAACTTTTTATCATTTAACAAAATTGCCTCAAAAATTTTCAATACGAAATAAATACATTAAAAATTACACATATTAGTAATTGCACTATTCAGCTTTGCAGTGCATACAGATTACTAATTTTTTAATTTTACCTGTACAAGTTCCACAAACATATTTTTTATAGTATTCACAAGGATTCAAAGTTGTGTTGCTTCTGCATGCATTTATTTAGCATTGCTTATGCTTACAGGAAGGGTTGATGTAAGTATCAACTCTCTTTTCGTCAGAAACAGAAAGTTTCCGAATTTTGGATGAAATGTACATCTTTCGGAGCTTCTCAACCGTATTCAAAATAAAATCATGACGGCTGATTTTCTCATATTCATCCGTTTCCTTATAAATTATCCACGCATTTATTGCGGCCAAATCAAGAATATTAAAAAAACTTGGAACTGCCCAACGTCTGGATGAGGATTTTAATGAGTAAAGCTGCATATTCACCTACTGCTTCTCCAGCTGGTCTTTTCCAAAATACGGAAATTCATTCAGCAAATATTTTCATGCACAACAGTAGCAAGCCAAAATTTATTCCGAATATGTCCGGCTTTTTAGGCATGTACTGAATAAATCGGGATCTGGTTTTCATTAGGAAACAATTGTTTATCCACTGTAATATTTTCGCCTGGTTTATAACATTTCAAGCAGTTTTCTATAAAGACATTTCAAACATCTGAAACAAGGGCAAACGGATTAGTTTGCAATCGGTATGAAGCAGATTTAACATCAGAAAAGATTTTCAGAATCTCTTCCTTCATTAGATATTTTCTGCCAACGCTTATACGTGACATATACAGGTCACAACAACAGAACTATCCAAATGAAGTAAAGTACATTTGTGTCTACTGAAAAATAACCTTTCTTACACAAGAGAAATACGCAGACACATGGCGAGCAAAAATTCTAAGCAGGTGTTTTTATTCTCCCCTCCTTCCCTGACCACTCACTTTTGTAAAATAATATGCAATCTTCCTTACCAGAAATTCACTTGTTTATCCATCAACAAACTGAAAATAGCTTACAAAAAGTCATAAAAATAATGAGAAAGATTTTCTGGATACAGTCAAAATGACAGATAGGTGTAATTTTAAGTATAAACAATAATCCTAGTGAAAATAATTATTTAAAATGAACAAAAAAGAATATCCTGTAATATTCATAAGCTTTTAGAAAGTCAAACAAATATCAAAGTTATAAATAAAGAAATAAAGAATGATATCTAATTAAAATGGGATTACAGTCAAAATGACAGTTGCCGTAATTCTAGTGTTAAATCAATTATTGCTAAAGAAAACCACTTGCTTCCAGAAAATGCCATCAATCCAAGAGAAAAGGTAGCTGCCTTTATTCATGATGTCGCTCAAAAAGCAATAGACAATGTAAAATCTATTTGAACAATTTTCCTTTCTGACCAGGCCTAAGGACTTGCTGAAGGTTCAATAGCATTGCTTTCTTGCATGTCCGTTAGAAG